TACGGAGCATTTTCTTAACTCAGTAGGTGAGGGAAGAAGCCGTGGGAAGTTTGTGGAACAGATGCCCTAGCAGTCATGTCAGTCGTGTCAGGTGGCATTGGGAGGTGGCTAGTCCAGTCTTGGCTAGAGGGACTGAAGGCCAGGATGAAGGTGTCGTTTGTGAGGTTTTCACTTCTATTTGCAAATATTCATAAAGTGTCTACTATGCATCAGGCCTGGGAACAAAGAAATGGAAGAGACACTGAGGAGGTAGAATGTGCGAGACTCAGGAGCCCTTAGAGTGGAGAGGTGGAAAGGAAGGAAGAATGTTGAAGATGGCACACCTTTCACCATGGGAATGAATGGTGGGGATCTGGTAGCAGGAACAGCTGTTGAAAAATTTGGAGGAGGGGCTAGCTCTGTGTGTGTGTGTGTGTGTGTGTGTGTGTGTCTGTATCTGTGTGTGTGTGTGTCTGTGTGTGTGTGTGTGTGTCTGTGTGTCAGGGTGTGTGTGTGTGTCTGTGTGTGTGTCTGTGTCTGTGTGTGTGTGTGTCTGTGTCGGGTGTGTGTGTGTGTGTGTGTGTGTGTCTGTGTGTGTTTTTGTGTGTGTGTGTGTGTGTGTGTGTGTCAGGGTGTGTGTGTGTATATGTGTGTTTGTGTATGTGTGTGTATCAGGGTGTATGTGTGTGCGTGTGCGTGTGTGTGTGTGTGTGTGTGTTTGCAGAGGCAGATGTAGAGTGAGGTAAATTTGGTTGTGAGTTTGCTGCTGTCATGAGGCCATGGCTGCCCACTCAGAATGCCCAGACCTCAGCTTAGGCCAGTGCTTGGGTCTGGAGCCTAAGGAAGAGCTGGGTTTTCATGTCTGGGAGAGGGAGCTTTGGGGTGTGAGCTGGCCAGGGAGTAGGAGGAGAGAGAGAGCTGCCCAGGTGGTTGGCACAGGAGCTAGTTTTGACGACCTTTTTCATGTGTTCCATGATCTGACCACTAATATGTGAGTCAAATCACTCTACCATGTTTTTTCAATTGACGGATTACAATTGTATATATTTATGGTGCACCACATGGTGTTTTGAAATACGTATACATTGTAGAATGGCTAAATCAAGCTAATTAACATATCTACTACCTCACATACTTATAATTTTTTGTGCTGAGAATGTTGAAGATATATTCACTTAGTTTCCAAGTGTACAATACATTGTTATTAACCGTGGTCACCATGCTGTACAATAGATTTCGGGAACTTATTCCTCCAGTCTAACTGAAATTTTGTGTCCTTTGACTAGCGTTCTCCCCTCCCCGCCCCCAGCCCCTCATAATCACCATTTTACTATCTGTTTCTATGAGCTCAGCTTTTTAGCTCCCACATATGAGTGAGATTATGTGGTATTTGTCTTTCTGTGCCTGGCCTGTTTCACCTAACAGTGTCCTCCAGGTTTATCCGTGTTGTCGCAAATGGCAGGATTTTGTTCTTTTTTATGGCTGAATAGTAGTCTATTGTGTAAGTATACCACATATTTTTTTTTATGAAGATGAAGTAGTCTATTGTGTAAGTATACCACATTTTTTTTTTCTGTCACCCAGACTGGAGTGCAGTGGTGCAATCTCGGCTCACTGCAACCTCTACCTTCCAGGTTCAAGTGATTCTCCTGCCTCAGCCTCCCAGGTAGCTAGAACTACAGGTGCATGCCACCACACTCAGCCAATTTTTTGTATTTTAGTAGAGATGGAGTTTCACCATGTTGGCCAGGCTGGTCTCAAACTCCTGACCTCAGGTGATCCACCTGCCTCAGCCTTCCAAAATGCTGGGATTCCAAGCGTGAGCTGCTGTACCCAGCCGCCACATTTGTTTAAATCCATTCATTTGTTGATGGACACAGCTTGATTCCGTATCTTGGCCCTTGTGAATAATGCTGCAATGAGCATCTACTGTCTTTCATCATAATTTGACAGCCTTTGAAAAGGTGCCACTTTGAAAGACTCTGCACGGGGGTGGAAGTAAACCATGAAGGATCAAAGGGTCTGTCACCTGTGAGGTGACAGAAGAGGAGTTCCAACAGGCAGATTCATGGTGTTTTGGATCACACTGGTCAGTCAGGCTGAGGCGATGGCCTGCAGGGAGCTGTCTTCTGGGTCAGATTCCCTGTGGCAGTAACTTAGTGTCATGGCAGCACCGCAGCCAGTGTTCCTAAAGATCACATGTCAGTCAGTGGAACTTAGAAAATACCAAGCTTAGAAGACAGTAAGTTTGGTTCATCCCTGAGATAAGGATGGGTCTGTTCCCATCTGCCACTTTGAAGCCATATGGGCAAGTCACTAACTTCTTTAAAGCTCTCCCCTCAGAAATGGGAACTGTGAATAGTAATCACAAATACACACATGTGTATGTGTATATGAATATGTGTGGACCTGAGTACACACACACACCAGGTACCAGTCCAGGCACTTAAAGTACAGTATATTTTAACTCTTAACTCTCACAATGCCATTATGATCTAGTTACTGTCATCACCATTTTCACAGGTGAGGCACCAGAGATCTGAGTGTCTACCCAACGTCAATAGCAAGTAAATGACAGAGCCAGGATTTGAACACAGTCTGGCTTCAGACCTCAGCTCCTCACCACTGCTCTCTGCTGCCTCACAGTTTGCTGTGCAGGGTTATGGGGAAACACACAGGAAGGGTCTTATGTGCTGTGCTTGAAATGGACTTGAGGCTCTGTGTAAGTAACAGCCGCCGCTGCTGCTGCCTGCAGATAGCTGGTGTTCAGCGTTCCAGGGCAGTCTTGCCCTATGCACAGCCGGTGCCAATCTGTCCTTTCCACATGAAATGGACTTAGTTATCCTGCTCTGCACCCACATTGCTGCATCCAAAATTCGACGTGAAAGTTTGGATATGAGGTAATTTGAGCATTCCTTACCTTTTACTGCGCATCTGGTGGTGTAAGCGCAGTTCAGTGGTGTGTATCCTTCCGTCAGTTTTTGCTAGGGTGATGTGTGGTGTGGTGTGTTAGCACTGTGCCCGGGGCAGGACAGCTCCTAGCAGTGCTGCAGCACACAAGCCTGGAAAATGAGTAGTCAGGGTGGCCGCTGCCCTCCCCTCCAGACCTGGCAGTCCCACAGCCTGTGGATTTCTCTATGGTGTCCACATCACAGCACGATGTATGCCCATGGATGGGCACAATCAATTAAATACTTGTGAAGATGACATTTGAGGAGTATAAGATGTTGAGTTCTTTCCATTTCCTGGCCCACTGAATCATTCTTGGAGACATGATGATATTACAAATTCCATTAGAGGTGTAAATAAGCAAGAAAAGTTCCTTGACCTCAGCAGTTTGTAATCTGTATGTCATAAGTAAAAACGATGTTAAATAAAACTAAACTTTGATCAAAGTGATGCAGATAAAGATAGTGTCGATAAATGGAAAGTTCTGTTTAGGTAGAATTAGTTCTCTCTCAGAAGGCAAAGTGCTATGGAGGAAAAATGTAGCCTTTTATAGGCCAGGCAGGGTGGCTTGTTCCTGTAATACTAGCACTTTAGGAGGCCGAGGTGGGCAGATCACTTGAGGTCAGGAGTTTGAGACCAGCCTGTCCAACGTGACAAAACTCTGTCTCTACTAAACAAATACAAAAATAAGATGGGTGTGGTGGTATGTGCCTGTATTCCCAGCTATTTGGATGGCTGAGGCACAAGAAATGCTTGAACCTGGGAGGCAGTTGCAGTGAGCTGAGATTACGCCACTGTACTCCAGCCTGGGTGACACAGTGAGAGTCTGTCTCAAAAAAAAAAAAGAAGAAGAAGAAGAAGAAAAATATAGCCTGAGCGTTAAGGCTGTAAACATTTATTGAGTGCCTACTGCATACAAGGCAGTGTATTTGGAGCTTGAGGATGAGACTGTAAGCAAAGAGTCAGTGTGGAATGGGATAACTGACATACAAGAGTGCATGATGGCTTATGGAGCACAGAGGATGTGTCCAGGTGACACTGAGGAATAAGCAGCAGTTTGTAGTGCATCACAAACAGGCCATCACAGTGGAGTCAGACTGTGTGGAGACTGGAGAACCTCAAGTCATCAGGTGTAGAGAGGCTGGGGGAGCGGAGAGGAAGCCACGAAAAGGTTCCAACACCAACTCCTTGGCAGGTGTCAAGGAAGCCTTGGGGCCAAGGAGGACAGAACCGTGGAGGTGCAGAAATGGATTGAATTGATGCAATGAACTCCAGAGGAAGGGGTTTTTTTCCCGGTGAAAACGGGACTGTGGCAGAGAAAGGGGATGCTAGGAGAATGGTAGCTTCCCTCCTACCCTTCCCTGAAAGGACGTGGGTGTTCACTAGAGCCAGATTCATGACACAAGTCACATTGGCAGTAACAAGAATGTCTTGAGAGTTTGAGGATGGGAGTGCTTATTGACCACTGAACACAGATTCAGCAGAAAAAGTCAGAGGAACAGTAAACTGAGGACAGAAATATGTAGGGGGAATGATGACCTGAGGGCCTTGCATTTGGGGCATGGCCAAGGATGACAGGAAGCTGAGCCACTGTGCAATTGACAGGCCTCGAGTTCTGGAATTTACTGTGGTGTGGAGTTTTCCAGTACTGCTCCAGTGGGGGCATTGGAGGTCCGTGGGCTTGCTTGGCATTCCAGAGCAACCTTGGTAGGGGGTGGGCACTGAGCTTCTTAAGAGATTCTTCTCAGAAGACCTTAACCTTTTGGGGAAACTGACAGCAGACCCCAGTGCCATGGAAAGATCAAGACTGGCCTAGGACATTGGACACTGGGCATCTGCACTTGAGAGGTTTTCTTGGGGTAGGAGGTATGAGAGGCGGTGTTTTACAGGTTTTGCAAAAGCACTGTTACAGGATCCTGTCTAATGAAGTGACTGATTTCTGTCTGTGTAGTCTGACAGGAGAAGCATTTAATTCTTAAAACAAGAGCAGTCCTTGTCTCATTCCTTTTGCTAGTTCTTGCCATGTTGTGCTAATTATTTTCCTATCCTGCTTTCTCTCTCTCTCTTTTCAGAACCAGACTACCAGGTGTACCTGAATGCTTCCAAGGTCCCTGGGTTTGCCGATGACCCCACAGAGCTGGCGTGCCGGGTGGTGGACACGAAGAGTGGGGAGGCGAATGTCCGATTCACGGTTTCGTGGTACTACAGGATGAACCGGCGCAGCGACGACGTGGTGACCAGCGAGCTGCTCGCAGTCATGGACAGGGACTGGACGCTAAAGTACGGAGAGAGGAGCAAGCAGCGGGCCCAGGACGGAGACTTTATTTTTTCTAAGGAACATATAGACACGTTCAATTTCCGGATCCAAAGGACTACAGAGGAAGACAGAGGCAATTATTACTGTGTGGTGTCTGCCTGGACCAAACAGCGGAACAACAGCTGGGTGAAAAGCAAGGATGTCTACTCCAAGCCCGTTAACATATTTTGGGCATTAGAAGGTAGGAACTTTATTCTTGTTTGTTACTCATTTTTGTTTTGTCTTTGCTTAAGTCATGCCGCTGTGTGTTCAGATGCGCAGTCACCCTCTGCAGTTTATCACTTATGCTAGGAATGCGCGTCCTGGACACTGATCACCATGAGACCCTCCTACGCCTCTTTGGACTCTCTGTCACCCCTCCTCTATGCCCAAGCCCCCGAGAGGGCCCTCTCGAACTCACTGTCATCAGCCAAGTCTCCCGTTTCCTGAACTTTGCCTCTGAATGTTCCTTTTCGCTTTCTTGCATTAAACATGATGACTCTGAGGACACTCTTTCCATTGGAGAAATAGTTACCTCTCCGAGGACAGTTTCCCCCAGAGCCCACCTACGTGCTGTCCATTTTCTTCCCACACTTCTCATAACTGGGCCTGAGGTGGTGCGGGTGTCCTCCTTGGTCTTCCCTGCAGCTTCCAGGCCATTTTCGCTCACTCCTAAAAATATCCAGCTTCCAGGCTCGTGTCATCATCACCCCACAGCGCCTCTTCTCATTGCTGTTGCCTGTTGCCGCCTAGGTCCTCTGTGCATTCTTTGAAGATGTCAGCTTTTGTTTCACAGGCACTCTGCCTGACGCTGCTCCCATCCTGCTAACTTCAGTATCCATGTAGAGCACTAGGTCACCATTGGAAGCACCCTGGGAACTTTAAAAAAAAAATGCTGGTGCTTTGTTTCACCAGAAATTCTCCCATCCAAGTACTAACCAGGCCCGACCCTGCTTAGCTTCTGAGATCAGATGAGATCGGTCAGGTTCCACCAGAAATTCTATTTTAGTTGGTCTGAAGTATGTGAATTCTGGGCACTGGAGATTTTAAATGCTCCCACGGTGATTTTTATGTGCAGCCCCCGTTGGGAACTCTAATACAGCTAATCCTGTCATTCTTAGGAGCTTGTCCTCCTCTCTCTAGTCGTCATGTCCTCTGTACTATTTTGGTCGTGCACTCCCATGCTTGTATGCTACCTTAGACCGTCTCCCTTCTGATAACTGAACCCCCTGCAGTCTCCTGTTCTCTAAACGTATCTCCTGTCTTTCTACACCACTTCCTCTAGTACTCCAGCAACAATCCCCCGACCCTGCTGGGGCCAACAATCTGTTAATCCTGACATTGTCCTTCACTCCCAGTGTGTCTTCCTGTCTCTCTCACTAGGGTGCCCATTTGTATCCAGTGGACACCTGGTGTAATTATGCTAGCACCTTTTTTCATCCTCGGAGCTAAGGCTGGGAGGTAGGGGTAAGGCATATGGTTACTTACTGTTACCCAGCCTAAATTCCCAGTCAGCTGTAATCATGCCATGGCATACCCCTAGCTCCCTTGCCCCTCTCTGTTTGCGGTAGACTCTGGCCAAACCACAACCCAGTTCACAGGCAGCCTTCTGCAGCCTCCCTACCTGTGCCCACAGAGCTAATGTGGGTGGAGAGAAACATTCAAGTGTGCTGACTGGGCTCCCTTGAAGTAGTGGTCACTTGTGACAAGTGGGCTCTCCGCACTGCCTGGGAATTATACTGCATCTCCCTAGTCTGGTGATCTCCCCACTCTCCTAAGTGATTGCTTCATGCCACCTTCTGTCTCTGCAAACCTCCTCCACAGCTTCTCTCTCAGCTGTTGGTCCTGCTTCCTACTCTCCTAAAAGTAGAAACAATCAGGAGACTTCTCATTCACACTGCCCCAGGGCTGAGCCTTGGCCACCCCGCGTATGACCTGGCAGAGGCCAGCCCCTCTCACTACTTAGGCCATTGCTGCTCTTCTCTTACATCTTCAGTAATTCTCTCCCTTCTGGATCTTTCCCACTGGCCTGTCAATGTGCTGTTAGATCCAGGTTTCCTTGGGTTTTTCTTTTGCGGTGGGGGGAATGGAGAATAGGGGTTGTACTTTTAGTTTTAGTTTTAGTTTTGTTTTTAGAGACAGGGTCTCACTCTGTTGCCTAGGCTGGAGTTCAGTGGTGTGACTGTAGCTCACTGCAGCCTCCATCTCCTAGGCTTAAGTGATCCTCCCACCTCAGCCTCCCAAGCAGCTGGGGCTACAGGTGCTTGCCACTACATACAGCTAATTTTTTTTTTTTTTTTTTTTTTGAGACAGGGTCTCACTGTGTTGCCCAGGTTGTCCTGAACTCCTGGCCTCAAATGATCCTCCTGCCTTGGCCTCCCAATTTGCTGGGATTACAGACATGAGCCACCAGGCCAGGCCCCCTCTTTTTTTATGCTAAACTGGTCTTGATCTTGCTTCTTCATCCATCTTTCTGTTTCCCCCAACCACGTGTCTACCTACTCCTTTTTCCTTTTATAACAACAATATTTGATGTGTATCTACTCCGTGTCTCTGATTTTTCTCCTGCCATTCTCTCTGGTACCTACGCTCATCAGGCTTTTCCCTCGGCTGCTTGTGGTAAGATGGCCAGTAATCAACGTATTGGAAAATCATATTGTCAGTTATTTCATTTGACTTAGCAGAATTTAACACAGGTGATCCCCTCCTCCTGGGAATGCTGTGCATTTTCCCTTGGCTTGTGGGACAAGGTCTTCTCAGGGCTTTCTTTATTAGCCATTTCTCAGCCTCCTTTGCTGACTCTGTTCATTTTTTGGACCCTGGACATTAGACTACCTCAGGACATAGTCTTTTGATGTAGTCCTTGGACTTGGACTTCTTTTCCATTTAACCTCATCGTGTTGGTGATGACTTCTAATCTCATGAATTTAAATACCATCTAGACAACAGCCAGATTCTGGGAATTTCTCATGAAATTCCCCAGCTCTGAACCTTCAAAGCCTCCCTGTCTCACTCACAGCAAAACCCAGTCCTCTCAGTGGCCTTAGATGTTCTGTACCAATTGGTCCTATTACTTTCTGGCCTTACCCAGCACCCTCCCCAGCACCCACTCCATCCAGCCACTCTGCACTCCCAGGCTCCTCACATACTCCAGGTGTGCTCCTGGCTTGTAGCTTTCTGCCTGTTTTTCCGTCAGCCTAGAATGCTCTTCCCGAGCTGGATAGGACTTGCTCCCTCACCTCCTTCAGGTCCTTTTTATTTGTTTTAAATTTAATTTTTTTAGAATCACGGCCTTGCTCCATCACCCAGGCTCTCTCACCCAGGCTGGAGTGCAGTGGCACCATCATAACCCATTGTTGCCTCAAACTCCTGGGCTCAAGCCTCCCAGATAGCTGGGACTATAGGCACATGCTCCGTGGCTGGCTAATTATTTAATTTTATTTTTAGAGACGCGGGGTCTTGCTGCGTTACCCAGGTTGATCTCAAACTCCTGGGCTCAAGCAATCCTCTCATCTCGGCCTCTCTAATCATTGAGATTACTTGCGTGAGCCCCCACACCTAGCTCAGGCTGTTTTTAAAATGTTGCCTTCTCAGTGAGGATGTCCCCCGATCACTCTATTTACAGTTGTGACACACACACCTCCCTTCCCATATACAAACCCACGACTTTTCTCTTCCTTGCCTGCCTATTGTCTCAAACGTTTATCACCATCTAACCAACCATACCATCTATTTTACTTATTTTATTTGTTTTCCTTCACTGGCACCTAAAGGGAGGGATTTTTTATTTATTTGTTCACCATTATATTTCCAGTAGCTGGAGTATGGAAGGCTGTCAATAAATACATGTTTACATTGATGAATGAGTGACCGAATTCATAGGAAAATCGAGAAAGAATGTGGCGGCTCAGTAGAAGCTGAGCAGTCAGTGGTTCTGGAGAGAGTTCCTAATATGTATGTTCTGCTAATCGGTTTGGTGGAACACGTGTTCCAAAAAATCTAATGTGAAAATCTCACCTTGTAACTGGATGGATTATAGGGTTAATCATCATATTAACGGATAAAAGCAATGTATCTAATTCATTTATTCATCCACTCAACAGATTCTTAAGCACCTTCCAAGTGCCCGACACTGTGCTACTATAACAGATGAACTCCAGTGTGTACACGCGTAGGCATTGTTGTTTTGACAGAGATGCGGGGAGTAATCCACTTAAACCAGTTAGTGTAGCCATAGACACTTCTCAAAATGTTAAAACAGCATTTTTGAAATTAAAGTGTAAACCAAGTGGAAATTATTAGATCTGCAAATACACACACTGCAGTCATTTTAGCAATAAATCTGTTCTGTAATTTCACTATCATTTGATTAAACAGAGAGATCTCATTTCTCCCTTGCTGTATTCCTCCCTGCAGGCTGGCTTAGCTAAGGGCACTTTCCCTGCACTTAGCAGACCCTGGGGAGGAGAGGCAAATGGTATGGGCGGGAGCCTGGCTTGGATGTTACGGTGTTGTGTTCAACCATGTCTTTCCCACCTTGCTGGCAGTGCCCTCTGCCTTGCATCCTGTGGGGCACCCGTAGCAGGTTCCCAGATTCTTCCTGGTGAGACTTCTCAAGAACTTAAAAATCCTGAAAACCAGTTCTCACCATAATTTCCTCTCTCCTGACACCCACTGATTCATTTCAGACTATTACTTCCAATGGGATGGTTTCAGCCTGCTTATGGATACACGTGATTCCCTTTCCAAGTTGCCAGATTTTTGTAGGTGCTTTTGTGTGGCAATTTGCAATTAAGTTTCTATTTCTTGGTTATTTTGCCTTTAGTAGCATTTTTATTTATTTATTTTTTTACAGTGAAAAAAATTTTTTTTATTGTACTTTGGGCTCTGGGGTACATGTGCACATCCTGCATCCTGCAGGATTGTTGCATAGGCACATACATGCCATGGTGGTTTGCTGTCTCCATTCCCCCCCACCCTATGTCAGGCATTTCTCCCGGTGTTATCCCTCCCCATCCCTCCCATTCCCCACTGTCCCTCCCCTCCCCTCCATACCTCCACCTACCCCAGTGAGTATTGTAGCATTTTTATTTTAACCGATCTTGTTGGAAATCACATCCTTCTGGTCCTTCATTCCAGATTCTGTGCTTGTAGTGAAGGCGAGGCAGCCAAAGCCTTTCTTTGCTGCAGGAAATACATTTGAGATGACTTGCAAAGTATCTTCCAAGAATATTAAGTCACCACGTTACTCTGTTCTCATCACCGCTGAGAAGCCTGTCGGCGACCTCTCCAGTCCCAATGAAACGAAGTACATCATCTCTCTGGACCAGGATTCGGTGGTGAAGCTGGAGAACTGGACAGATGCATCACGGGTGGATGGCGTTGTGTTAGAAAAAGTGCAGGAGGATGAGTTCCGCTATCGAATGTACCAGACTCAGGTCTCAGACGCAGGGCTGTACCGCTGCATGGTGACAGCTTGGTCTCCTGTCAGGGGCAGCCTTTGGCGAGAAGCAGCAACCAGTCTCTCCAATCCTATTGAGATAGACTTCCAAACCTCAGGTGAGCAGGGAGCACTGTTGAATCATAGATGGAGCTAGAAGAGACCCTAGGGTTTTGATCAGATGCCCTCATTTTTAAAAACAGCTTTGTTAAGATGCAGTTCACATGCCGTACAATTTACCTGTTTAAAGTGCATAATTCAGTGGCTTTTCATATATTCACAAAGTTGTGTGATCATTACCACAACCAGTTTTAGAACATTTTCATTACCCCAAAAGAAACCTGAACCCCTCAGCCAATACCCTCCAATCACTCTCCATTCCCCTCCTCCCGTTCTGCAGCAACCATTATCTACTTCCTGTCTCTGTAGATTCTGCCTATTATGGACATTTCATGTAAATGGAATGTAATATGTGGCCTTTGTATCTGGCTTCGTTTTTGGAGCAAAATGTTTTCAAGGGTCATCCATATTGTAGCATGTTTCAGTGCTTTTGTTCATTTTCATGACTGAATAAGACTCCATTGTATAGATATGCCACATTTTGTTTCTCCATTCATCAGCCAGTGGACATTTGGGTGTTTCCAGTTCTTGACTATTATAAATAATGCTGCTATGAACATTCATGTACAAGTTTTTGGACAAATGTATGTTTTCATTTCTGCCTTCCTTTTAAGAAGATGAACTGAAGCTCAGCTACTCCAGATTCCTTAGGGAACATGGTGGAGTATAAAGAGAGAGAGGAGGGAATTGAGCCTCCGAAGGCATCAAGTAACTTGCCAAAAGTGGAAGATTTTTAACGTCCTGTCTGTGTATGTGTGTGTTTCAGTAGGAAGATGATTTAATAGTATTTAAGCCCCAATCTTATTTAGAATATTAATGTGAAGGATTATCATTTGTGAGTTTAAGACTAAATGTTTTCACTAACTCTGCCCTGGGTCCCGGGTCTTAGTTAGAAATTTGTGAATGTGTAAATTAATACTCATCTGTAAAAATTCAGGTATCAATTAAATTCAGTATAATGAATGCAAGATATTTGTTGAATTAGATGATTAGCATTTATATTAAAGGTAAACTAGACTAATAACGTTTGTTTTCTATTATTTTGTATTGTTATAACCTTTTATGGTATATAGTGAAATCATCTTCTAACATCTCTTGACCTTTAAATTAATAAAGGGTAAATATTGATTTAAGCACTTAGATTTGGAAAGAGCAGAGAAAGCATAGGCCTCCTTTATTGTGTATCTGTTTATTTTTAATAGCAGCTTTATTGAGATATAACTCATATACCATAAAATTCACCATATAAAGTATACAATTGAGTGGTTTCTAGTATATTCACAAAGTAGTGCAACCATCACCACTAACTAATTTCAGAAAATTTTAATCACCTCAAAAAGAAACTCCACCCTCATTAGTAATCATTCCCATACCCGCATGCCCCTGTCCCTGGCAATCACTAATTCACTTTGTCTCTGTAGAGTTGCCTCTTCTGAGTATTTCAGATGAATTGAATCATATTATATGTGGACTTTTGTGACTTGCTTCTTTTCACTTAGCATAATGTTTTCAAGGTCCATTCATGTTGTGGCAGGCATCAGGACTTCATTCCTTTTTATGACTGAATAGTATTTCATTGTATGGATATGCCCCATTTGTTTATCCATTCATCTGTTGATAGACATTTAGACTATTTCTACTTTTTGGCTTTTATGAATAATGCTGCCATTAACATTATTATTGGAAAATATCTTCTCCCATTCTGTGGGTTGTCTTTTCACTTTTTAGTGATGTCTCTCCAAACATCAGTTTTTGAATTTTGATGAAATCCAGTTTATCTGTATTTTTTTTCCTTTTGTTGCTTGTGTTTTTGCTATGTCTATGAAATTATTGGCTAATCTAAGGTTGTGAGGATTTACATCTATGTTTCCTTCCAAGAGTTATATAGTTTTAGCTCTTACATTTTAGGCTGCGACTCTTGGTAAGTTAATTTTTGTACGTGGTAAGAGGAAGGGATCCGACTGTATTATTTTGTGTGGAGATAGCCAGTTGTCCTAGCACCATTTATTAAAAAGTATATTCTTTCCCCCATTGACTTGTTTTGGCACCCTTGTCAAAAATCATTTAATCATAAGTGTAAGGTTTATTTCTAGACTGTCAGTTGTATTTCAGTGGTCTAGATTTCTGTTCTTATAACAGTACCACACTGTTTGATTACTGTAGCCTTATAGTTAGTTTTGAAATTAAGAAGTTGGACACTTCCAATTTTGTTCTTTTTCAAGATTGTTTTGGCTATTTTGGATCCCTTGCACGTCCATGTGACTTTTAGGATCAGCCTGGTAATTTCTAGAATCCAGGCATCTGGGATTTTTTTAACACAATCTAGGGATTGTGTTAAATCTGTAGATGAATTTGGAAAGTTTTGCCGTTAAACAGTATCGTTTTTCAGTTCGTAAACATGGAATATCTTTCCATTTATTTAGGTATTTAAATTTTTTCCATGGTGTTTTGTAGTTTTCAGTATACAAATTTTGGTTTTTTTGGTTAAATTTATCCTAAATATTTTATTCTTTTTGATGCTGTTGTAAATAGAATTGCTTTCTTAATTTACTTTTCAGCTTGTTTATTCATAGCAGTTTTATAGAAGCACAACTGGCTTTTGTATGTTGATCTTGTATTCTGTGACCTTGCTGAACTTGTTTATCCTAATTCTAAATTTTGGGGATTCGTTCTAATTTGTAAAATACAAGATTATGTCATCTATGAATAGAACTACTGAATAGTTTTACTTCCCCCTTCCAGGTTGAATATCTTCTATTTCTTTTTCTCGAGTAATTGCCTAGCCAGAACCTCCCATACAGTGTTGAATAGAAGTAGCACAAGTGGACATTCTTGTCTTGTTTCTGATCATGGGCAGAAAGTGTTCAGTCTTGTTCGCCTTTAAGTATCATGTTCACTGTAGGATTTTCATAAATGCCCTTTATCAGACTGAGGAAGTTTCCTTCCACTCCTAGTGTGTTTCCTTTCATTCTTAGTTTTTTTTTTTTTTTTTTTTCATTCCTAGTTTGTTGAGTATTTTTGTCATGGAAAGGTATTGAATGTGGTCAGATGCTTTTTCAGTGTCTATTGAGATGAGTTGATTATGTGGTTTTTGTCCTTTATTTGCGTATTTGTTTTGCTGCCTATACGAATCTGTTCCATCTTGTTTTACATTTGTTATTTGATCTTTCTTTTAAACTCTTATGTGGAAAAGGGGAGACACAAAGTCTTTTGTATCTATTTCTGGGTGAGGAATGGGTATTGAATTTATTCCTCAGTTCTTTAAATCTCAGCAAAACAGATAAAACCACTGTAGCTTCCAGGTTGAATAGATTGCCTAAGGTTTTTATTTTATTTAATCCACAGAGTTGTCATGGCCAGTTCACATTTTAATTAGGAGAAGCTGCCATCAAATTCAGCACTCAGCACAATACTATAGCCCTGAATAGCCACCAGCAACCATTGATTTCAGACTGAACAGCGTTTGCTTCCTAAAAAGCAGTGGCATACCTTAAGATACACAACGAAGAGGTCCTTCCAGTGTTCACCTTCCTGTCCCCTGATTTCAGGGCACCTGCCTTTTGGTATTGAAAACCAACGGGCCCTCTTGAGTGCTGGGTTTTACTGATTCAAAGTGTCAAGAGGGCAAATGGTATTTAAATATGATAGTGTAAGCTTTGGCTTTTTAAAAGAATAATAATTTTTTTCTTAATATAGAAAATTTGAAAATATAATAACATAGAAAGAAGGAAAACAGATTCATTCATCATCCTACCGGAGATGGTTAATTTATGTTGTTCATCTTTCTAAAATTTTTTTCTTGTATGTTTTCTTCATGACTTTGAGATCAAGCTGTATATACAATTTTAGGACCTGCTTTTCTTTCTTTAGTGTTATAAGATCAGCACTTTCTATATTGTAACCAATTCTAGGTGAATATCAATACCACCTTTAATGACTTTACATAGTAGAATTTGCTTAGCCACTACCCTATTGATGGACATGCAGATGGTCTGCAATTTTTGCTTTCATTAAAAAAACTGCCACTAACATCTTTTTTAGAGGCCCAGGTTGGACCATGGTATATGTCAGTGTTTGCATTTAAAAGTTAAGTAGTCCTGTACTCTGTGCAGACTAGGAATCGGGGGACCCCTAGTGACTCTGGTTGTTCAGTTAAACTCTCTATACCATAGTCTGTCATCTGTGAAGTTAACCAGACAAATCCCCTCACAAAAACAGCATTACCACAGAAATTGACCATAATGAAAATATTTCTAAGCCTGGGATAATGACCCATATTAACAGTGAGCTGCTGATTTCATTAGGAGGAAATGCACTGCTGTGAATAGCTCCCCACAATGCAGGCCTTTTCCCCAATCCTTGTCTGCCTTGGAAGCCACAGCACAAATGCTCTGTTGATTCCCACGTTCAGTAGGGGAAGTGAGAACCGTAACATGACCTAGAAGGTATTTGAGTTTTTTTGGAAATATAAAGAAAAACTGAAATTTGTTCGAATTAAGTAAGTCGTCTTTGCTGCTTCAAAGTAAATAGAAACGTAAATCCATGAGAATTTCTTAATGTTTGTCATTTTATGTTCTCTTAGAAGGGGCCTGAACACGAGAAAAGCCCCTCAGTGTAGTTCTGTTTATTACCATGAGATTTCTACTCTGAGAAAAATGTGACCCCCCACCTTGTTCACCATGGCTGCTGCTAACCTTTACTCACTCACAGATGGCCGTCCATGGTATAAGTGTCCCCAGTCACCACACAGAGCCTATTTAGGGCAGTTTGGCTTAATCCTGCCCCACCTTGCCACTCCAGGCAGAGCAAGTCCAGGGTATAAGGCTTGAGGGAGCCAGGGCTGAGAGTTGAGTTAATTGAAGGGGATGATGTCCAGAAGTAGGTCAGGCTTCCTTGTCTTTGCTTTCATCCCTTCCCCGTTTCCTGGAGCAGCCATTCAGTCAGTTGTTTATCCCCTTAGAGTTACGTACGCCCCTGCTGTTCCCTGAATAATCAGAACTCTTCGCAGTTCCCACCCAGAGCTGCCTAACCCCTGTAGGGTTCAATATTCCACAACCATCCTTCACCTTTCTCCCAGGAAAACACAAATTATGTATATACTTGGTTAGGAAAGCAATCTGATGCATTCGTCTTATTAGTCATGTCAAAATGAAAATATAGTCCTTTCATCATCTTACTCTCTCTGTCATGGTCATTTCTTCTGCAAGTTTAAAGAGGTACTTTGGGATACTTGTTTTTTTCTGGCAATCTGAACAAGAAGTAGTAATAACTTCTAATGAGTTTTACAGTCAGCACCTAGGGCCTTCAGTCGTTGCTTCCCAGAAAACCCAAGGGGAGTCCCATAGCATTGATGTTCTGTGAACTTCTTTTAGGTGTGCCTGTTCCTAGACTTTAGGAATTGGGATAAAGTAAACATTGAACTCTTAGGATTAGCTAGGCTAAAAGCTATGAAATGCTCTCACCTAAGAGGAATTCGTGAGTGAGTTAGAAATAATAATTCTGCCTACAGTGTCAGGGAGGCATGTAAGACAAATCCTGTCTGGGTAGGTGTTTTGTTTTGTTTGTTTTTTACCAGACTTTATTTTAATTTAAACTTTTTTTTTTTGAAAACTGGATTTTGCTCTGTCGCCCAGGCTGAAGTCCAGTGGCACGATGTTGACTCACCATAGCCCCAACTTCCCAAGTTCAAACAGTCCTCCTCCTACCTCAGTCTCCTGAGTAGCTGGGACTATAGGTGTGCACCACCGTGCTTAGCTAATTTTTGTATTTGTTGTAGAGACGGGATTTTGCCATGTTGCCCAGGCTAATCTTGAACTCCCGGGCTCAAGCGACTGTCTGCCTTGGCCTCCCAAAGAGCTGGGATTATAGGCATGAGTCACTACGCCCAGCCTGGACTTTATTTTTTAGAGAAGTTTTAGGTTGCCAGTTTTTGAGTAGAATGTACCAAAAGTTTCCATTTACTCCCTGTTCCCCCACAACACACAGCCTCCCCAACCTGAGTAGCCTCTTAAAGACATATCCACCTGTAATCTCAGCACTTTGGGAAGCCGAGGTGGGCAGATGACATGAGGTCAGGGGTTTGAGACCAGCCTGGCCAACATGGTGAAACCCTGTCTCCCCTAAAAATACAAAGATTCACCATTCAGGAGGCTAAGGCAGGAGAATCACTTGAACCCAGGAGGTGGAGGTCGCAGTGAGCCGAGATCATGTTACTGCACTCCAGCCTGGGCGACAGAGTGAGATTCCATCTCAAAAAAGGGCATATGCAAGCTGCCTCCATTTTCCCTGGTAGGCTGGAGCTGTGCCTTAAGTGCTCCCACCACACCTTATAGAAGCCTCGTTACTGGCATGTCTGTCTGCTTACCGGATTTCAGCCTCTTGGTAACGGGGTCCCTTTCCCCACCATCCAGCGCAGTGAATGAAGCCACTCACTCCATTGAGACCAAAAGCATTCTTGCTTTAGTCACTGTTCCTTTGATCTCTACCCAAGCATAGAATTGAACCATGTTGATCGGCCCAGGCTGTTCCAGGGTGGAGGGTAGCTTTCGAATGAGGTCACTGTGGGCATCAGAAAAGAAGTGAAAGAAAACCAGAGCAAAAGTTAACTCTTTAGGAAGAGTTCCATTTTGGTTGTAATCTGAAGGTGAAGCTCACTGGGAGGTGCCTAATGCCCATGTGTCTCTGAGTAGAAGAGAGGCAGCCTGGAAACACCTATTTTGTGAGTTTCTAGACCAGTTCCCAGGAAGGGAACCACATTTTGATGCCCCTTAGAGCGCAAATAATGGAATTTGATGAAAGTGTGAAAGAGAATAATGAGGCTGGCTTTACTTTTTTCCAGGTCCTATATTTAATGCTTCTGTGCATTCGGACACACCATCAGTCATCCGGGGAGATCTGATCAAATTGTTCTGTATCATTACTGTCGAGGGAGCAGCGCTGGATCCAGGTACCTCACTCCATCCTTTCCCCTTCACCATACTGCTTTCTGTAGACGCTTCTCATATCGTCTGCACTGTGTTACACAGATGTGGGTTAGGGACAGAATCATCTATTTGTCCCCTAACTGCCTGGCTCAGTACTTTGTACTCATTAAGTGTTTAATAAATACTTGTTGAGTGGATGCATCTATCCGCTAGATGATTTGGACATGCATCCACACATTTGAATCTGAGCTGTCAAGACGGTTAGTGGGTCACTTCCAGAACCGTTTCAGGCTGATTTGAAACCCAGCGGCAGAGTCTCGCTCCTTCTCTTGTGTCTTTCATTCATTTATTCATTCAGATATTTGTTGAGTTCCTTTGGTATACAAGTGCTGCTCTAGGTGCTAGGAATACAGGAGTGAACAAAATGCCCAAAGTCTGTCCTCATGGAGCTTGCAACCTGATAAGGACAGACGCAAGAAATAAAGTGCTCTGTAATATCACAGCAGTTGATGCTGTGAAGACATACAGAGCAGGGGAGTAGCCAGTGACCAGAGGGTGCTGTTGTAGTTAAAATTCTTAGGAAATCATTATAAATACTTTCTTTGCAGCAAATATCAGCATTGCCAACAGGATGCCTAAGAGTTGTGGGACCCATCAGTCTTTCTCCTTCTCTGCTTCTGCCATTCAGTGACCAGTTGATGTCCCTCTCTCACTCTTTGACTGTTAAGGCTTGAAAGAACATTAAATACACTCAGGGGGTCTCTGTTACTGAGCAGGACTGTACCCACCGCTGCCTTTTCCTAGAGGACTCGTGAAGAACCTAATTCCTTATGGGCGTCCCTTTCCTCCTGCATGCCTTGACCCTCAGCAGCCTTCGCACTGCGCTGTCCCATCACAAGCAGAGCTGTGGCTGCTGGCAGAAATCTTGAAAAGGCCAAATTGTAGAGGGGTCACAAGTTTCTCTGTGGAGACTTCTGGAGGTGTGGCCCTGGGAAAGAAACTAAAAGCAGTTTTCCATTCTGTATGAACGGGCAAGCTCCAAACAAGGGCGGTGGCCTGCAGTGAATCCAGGGAGCCCCTGAGCGGGGGACTGTGTAACATTAGTGTCTGAAGCAGAGGCCTGGATACCGCACCATCCAGGTGGACATCTGGCTCCTGCGGGACTTCCAGTGGAATGTTCAGGTCAGCAAATACTTTCTGTAAAGGACCTGGGTAGGAAACATTTTGGCTCTGTGGGCCAGATAGCCTCTGTGGTCACTATTCAACACTGCCATTGTAGTGTGAAAGAAGCCGTAGATAAGAATGTAAGCAAATGGGCATAGCTGGGTTTAGTGAAGCTTTGTAAAAATAGGTAGTGGGCTCACCTTGGCCCGCAGGCTGTAGTTTAGTTGATTAATACCAAAATTGGCTCCAGTAGGGTAGCTGAACATGGTTGACCTTTAGAGGTGGGAAACAGGAGGAGAATTTGTGGGAGATGTTAGAAAAGGAAAAGAAAGAATCCCAACTACATCCGTGGAGTTGGTTAGCTCCATTCACAGGGAAGAGGAATGAGAAGCCATTCCTCTACCTGAGATGGGGAAGACTGGGACACAGAGTAAGATTCAGAAGAGAAAAGCAACGTAAAAGTGGAAGAGACTACCAGGGAAAGGGGAGGAAAATCCTTTTCGAAAGTTGGAAAAATGTAATCCCATGTTTGCCGTTAAAGTTCACTTATGGATCGTTGCGCAGTAGGGCTAGCGGCTTCGTGTTTTGGTACTCGGACCCGGCAGCCGCTTTTGGTGCTAAGCTGCTAGGAAGCCCTTCTCAGCGAGCTCGTTGGAGCTTGAACCCATTGTCACCCCTCGGACTTAACGACAAAACAAAACAAAAAAATGGTTGAAGCAGATCGCCCAGGAAAGCTCTTCATTGGTGGGCTTAATACGGAAACAAATGAGAAAGCTCTGGAAGCAGTATTTGGCAAATATGGACGAATAGTGGAAGTACTCTTGATGAAAGACTGTGAAACCAACAAATCAAGAGGATTTGCTTTTGTCACCTTTGAAAGCCCAGCACACGCTAAGGATGCAGCCACAGACATGAATGGAAAGTCATTAGATGGAAAAGCCATCAAAGTGGAACAAGCCACCAAACCATCATTTGAAAGTGGTAGACATGGGCCACCTCCACCTCCAAGAAGTAGAGGCCCTCCAAGAGGTCTTAGAGGTGGAAGAGGAGGAAGTGGAGGAACCAGGGGACCTCCCTCATGGGGAGGACACATGGATGACGGTGGATATTCCATGAATTTTAACACGAGTTCTTCCAGGGGACCACTCCCAGTAAAAAGAGGACCACCACCAAGAAGTGGGGGTCCTCCTCCTAAGAGATCTGCACCTTCAGGACCAGTTCGCAGCAGCAGTGGAATGGGAGGAAGAGCTCTGGTATCACGTGGAAGAGATAGTTATGGAGGTCCACCTCGAAGAGAACCGCTGCCTTCTCGTAGAGATGTTTATTTGTCCCCAAGAGATGATGGGTATTCTCCTAAAGACAGCTATTGCAGCAGAGATTACCCAAGTTCTCGTGATCCAAGAGATTATGCACCACCACCACGAGATTATACTTCCCGTGACTATGGTCATTCCAGTTCACCTGATGACTATCCATCAAGAGGCTATAGCGATAGAGATGGATATGGTCGTGATCATGACTATTCAGATCATCCAGGTGGAGGTTCCTACAGAGACTCATGTGAGAGTTATGGTAACTCACGTAGTGCTCCACCTACATGAGGGCCCCCGCCATCTTATGGTGGAAGCAGTCGCTATGATGATGACAGCAGCTCACGTGACGGATATGGTGGAAGTCGAGCAGTTACTCAAGCAGCCGAAGTGATCTCTACTCAAGTGGTCGTGATCGGGTTGGCAGACAAGAAAGAGGGCTTCCTCCTTCTATGGAAAGGGGGTACCCTCCTCCACGTGATTCCTACAGCAGTTCAAGCCGGGGAGCACCAAGAAGTGGTGGCCGTGGAGGAAGCTGATCTGATAGAGGGGGAAGCAGAAGCAGATACTAGAAACAAACAAAACTTTGGACCAAAATCCCAGTCCAAAGAAACAAACAAAAAGTGGAAACTATTCTGTTATAACTACCCAAGGACTACTAAAAAGAAAAATTGTGTTACCCTTTTTTTTTTTTTTGAGACGGAGTTTCGCTCTTGTTATCCAGGCTGGAGTGCAATGGCGTAATCTCGGCTCACCGCAACCTCCGCCTCCTGGGTTCAGGCAATTCTCCTGCCTCAGCCTCCTGAGTAGCTGGGATTACAGGCACACGCCACCATGCCCAGCTGAATTTTTGTATTTTTAGTAGAGATGGGGTTTCACCATGTTGACCAGGATGGTCTCGATCTCTTGACCTCGTGATCCACCCGCCTCGGCCTCCCAAAGTGCTGGGATTACAGGCTTGAGCCACCGCGCCCGGCCTGTGTTACCTTTTTTAAATTCCCTGTTAAGTTCCCCTCCATAATTTTTATGTTCTTGTGAGGAAAAAAGTAAAACATGTTTAATATTATTTGACTTCATGACATTGCTTTTCAACAAGCAAATGTTAAATGTGTTAAGACTTGTTGTACTGGTGTTGTAACTTTCCAAGTTAAAGTGTCCCTAAAGGCCACTTCCTATATGATTTTTCCCAGTAAGTGAGGCAAGCAATTCTAAGATCTTCCACAAAACATCTAGCCATCTAAAATGGAGAGATGAATCATTCTGCCTTTACAAACAAACTAGCTGTTACAGGGTGGTTGAGGTATGCCACTCATAGGATTTCAGAGTGTCTTCCAACTAAAACCTCCATGATCTCAGTATGAAAAACCTGAAATCAGATGCCTATTTAAGGAAATAATCACTCAGTAAACCCAAAAATGCAAATGGATAATGCTGGCCATTTTGCCTTTCTGACATTTCCTTGGGAATCTGCAAGAACCTCCCCTTTCCCCTCCCCCAATAAGACCTTTTAAGTGTGTGTTAAACAACTACAGAATACTAAATAAAAAGTTTGGCCAAAACCAAAAAAAAAAAAAAAAAAAAAAAACTCACTTATGATGCATACAAAAATAAATCCTTTAAATGCTCTTTCTCAGTAAATTAATAGGTCACCAGTTGTGCCCTTAATAGAAAAGTCTTTTCGTCCAGTGTAATTAATTGCAAAAGCTGTAGGTAGCTGTTATCTTTCAGATCACAATTTTCAGTACTTTGCACTCTTGGACTGTGTGGGTGGAAGATTCTGAATTATTAAACACAAGTTGTAATTTAGTTTTTCCTCACACATGCTGTGGGCTCTGAGGGAATGCTCTTTTGTGAAGGACACATTGTGTAAATGATTTGTGGGCCAAGGTGCTCTGTGCGGAGCAGGGGTGGGGACAGCAGACTGTGGCCCTTCTGAGGCAGTATCTTAGGTCAGGTTCTCCCCAAGCAAAGACAGACAAGCGTGCGAGTGATGGATTGAGGGAGGGCTCTCAGGAGAACACCGAGGGAGGGAGGGACTCGAGATGGAGCTGGAGAAGAAGGCAGGTGGAGGCGTTAATTCGGAGCAAGTTCACCTCCCCACGGGGAGCTCTGGAGCGCGAGTGTTCCGCAGAAAAGGGGGCTGGGCTTCTCTGCCCCTTCACTAGTCAGTCATTGTCCACAGGCTGAGTGGCCAAGGAATGAGATTGTTTCATAACCCCCAGGGGGTGGCTACAGGTGTGTGAGTTTTAACAGCCAGCACCTGCAGCCCAGAGGCTCAGGCTGCCAGCTGGTGTGGACCAGCCACCAATGGTATTCGCTGCAGGTGGTAATGCCCTTCCCGTTAGTGTAGGAGCATGTGTGTTGAGCTGTGGAGATAATGGTGTTCATGGTGACCAACTTTTATTGAGCACATACTGTGTTCCAGGTGCTGTTTTAAGCATTTTAATACATGTAGTTAATTTAACCCTGGGTGCTGTCATTTTCATTTTGCAGATGAGGAAACGAAGTCTCAGTGAACTTGGGAAACTCGCCCAGGTCACATGGCTCATTAGTGCTGGTGCTGGGATTCTAGCCCAGGCAACCTGGCCCTGGAGTCTGAACCCTACACCCTGAGGTGCAGTGGGGATCAGGGCTTAGAGTCCGGGAACCTGGTTTGGCTTTTTGCCCTCAGCAACCACGCAGCACCTGCAGGTGACAGCAGCACTGAGTTCAGAGTTTTCAAGAAGACATGAGAGTGATGCAGGTGTCCACTCTGCCCTTGGCCCCGCGAGAGCATGAGGCTGCTTACGGCACTTCCTCTGCCCCCAGGGAGCTGGTTTCTTTGGAGAGACACTGGGAACAACAACAAAAAATTATACTCAAGTGCCACAGCGGGTCAATGGGAGAAAAATAAGATGTTCCATCTTTAGAGTGAGCTGAGAAGGAATTATCATTTGGATAATTTCTTAGAAATTCTTGCTTATAGTTTTGCTTACTTTTTTAATATGTAAGCATCTGAAAATAATTTGCCTTATAATGTGTTTTTTCGAGGTTATTAGTGTATTTTTACTACATGACCAAATGTTATCTCTTGTTCAGCAAAAATTGCCTTATTTGACATTTATACAAAATGCTTTCTCAAGTGGATTTAAGACAAAACAGTCTTGTGGCTGTTGTCCTTTGTTGCTGGTTGAATCTCATAGCCGACACGACTGATAGTGGTTGGTACCAGTCAAGGGAAGAGGTCAAGGGCTTATGATGTGTGGTCTGTTTTCCCATTCCATGAGAATTACCACTTGTGCCAAAGTCTTCTTTCTCTTATGCCCATATTAATTTATTTGAGGCTGTTAGAACCTTAGTTTTGCAGAGTACTTTACGATTCCGTATTACTCTCTGGGACTGTTAAACTGTGTTCCATTTTCTCAGCTTGACATTTTTTTTCCCTCTTGTTTTGAACTTAAGCACTTCTGCAAGGAAAGAAAAACCACAGTGCACAATAAAAGCTAAACTATTTACAACTCTGTATTCGGTACAGTTCGTTTTATGTACATTTTGTTCCATACGACTTTAGTGTCCTTCCAGTCTTGGGTTCTTCTGCCTGAAATGTCAAAGGAGTTGCTTTCTTTGGGAGCAGAGCCTGCAGTATCCCCTCCTACCAGCTTTCCGACCTGTGTTCTCTGTGGGAGACAGTTTTTGGCCCTGACTCTTCTTCCTATGGCCCTTAGTCTGGGTGGCAGCAGTGCAATGGTTAAGAAGCTGGGCTCCAGAGCTGTACTCCCTGGGTTCAGCTGCACTTCTGCTACCTGCTGGCCACATGACCTTGAGCAGGTATATAGTCTGGTAATGATGCCAGAATAAAAGCACGATAGTGCCTCCTCATAGGGCTTTTATGAGGATTCAGTGAGACCTAAGGCACGTAATGCTGTGCTTGCCATACGTAGTAAGGGCTGCATACATGGATGGCAGCCATACATATGACTTCTGCCTGTTGCACTGACCCCAGGGTTTTGGCTTGGTAATCCATAGATGACATGGCCTTTGATGTGTCCTGGTTTGCGGTGCACTCCTTTGGTCTGGACAAGGATCCTGTGCTCCTGTCTTCCCTGGATCGGAAGGGCATTGTGACCACCTCCCGGAGGGAGTGGAAGAGCGACCTCAGCCTGGAGCGTATGAGTGTGCTGGAATTCTTGCTGCAAGTTCATGGCTCCGAGGACCAGGACTTTGGTAACTACTACTGTTCCGTGACTCCATGGGTGAAGTCACCAACAGGTTCCTGGCAGAAGGAGGCCGAGATCCACTCCAAGCCCGTTTTTATAACTGTGAAGATGGATGGTAAGCATGTCACCCACATTTCTCAGTGTTCGGGAATGTCTTCTCTCTGTGCCAGGCTGTAGCTGACAGAACCCAAGTGGCCACAGTTTGAGGAATGTGCCACAGCACGTCCTGGTTTCTTTGTACACCTGGCCTGGGCCTGCACCCAAAAAGAGCAGCCCTTGCTGTTATGCAAGCTTCGCTATTATGTGCTGGTGCCACCATTGAGAAATGGTTTTCCAGACTTACTAGAAAAATTTTCAAGGCTTTGCCTCTTCCATAAATTCATAGAAACCCACTTACTGTGTCCGAGGGTTGGCGTGGATTCTGCCGGGCACAGGCAGAGAGCAGCCTTGAGAGAGAGGGTTCAGGTCGATAGGGGAGGCTACAGCTTAGGGACCTACTACTGTCACTACTACTGGTTTCACTTCTTAGAGAAAAGAGACTCCTCTTGAAGTCACTGTACAGAGTGGGTACTTCACAGAGCCCCAGGATGGGAGGGTGAGCTCCCAGCCCCACTGACCCACGGTGAACACCAGGGTCGGCCTAACTAGACAGGCAGAGCTTTGTTTGCTGAGCACCCCAGAGTGGGGACGGTTGTTCCTTGGTTTACAAGAAATGTGTCTCCTTTATGGAAAACTTCAGAAAGTACATGTTCGCTAAAATGACTCCGTGGAGAGAATTAAAGTCCCGGGGCCTCTGAGGCTGAGGAGAAAGCTTTTGAGTGTCTCCCTAGTGATTGGTCAGGTGGAAATCGGAACCCGAGGTCTTCCACAGACTACTTAGCTTTTCTGATCCATTTTCTCTCATAAAATGGAATACCAGTCTTCCATCGGGCTGTTTTGAAAATAAACCTTAGCAAATGTAAGGCACCTAACCCAGTGGCAGCATCCACCCAAGGCGCATGGGCACCTATGGGGAAGGGCAGGTGGATTTCAAGGGTGGAGTCTAGATGGTGTGTGTGCATTTCTGACACTTCAGTCATCTGTACCATATTTTGCATCTTAGGAATTCCTTGCTTGAGGTAACTCCATATGAAAACCCAGATTTAACAAACAAGGGAGTGATTATTCACTTTGCTAGATAATTTACTATAGTGTTACTTAAAATAGCTTCCTTAGTACACTTCAGTTACTTGATGCATAGGATTGATTTATGCACAGTTTTTTAAGGATGCATCTGCTGCTGAATGTGCAGTGCCCTTATACTGACTTTTAAAAATCAATCTTCTGCCAAAACCCTAAAAAGCAAGTTGACATTCAAAGGCATCAAGTGAAATCTTCTTTATGGTTTTTATTCTCCCCGCAGAGCTGGGTAGGAAGAAAGACATTTGCTCATTTTTGTGACAGAGAAGGCTGAGCTTCTCCTGTCTCCAGTGCTGTGCTGGGTGCTGGGTGCGGGAGGAATGAGATCTTATCTGTCGGGGAGGTCCTGCTCCAGTGGGGGAAGGGAGGCAAGGGCACCCCCAAGGTGGCCTTCTTGGAGCACTGACTGGCTTCCCCTTTGATCTCTCCCTCCCAGTGCTGAACGCCTTCAAGTATCCCTTGCTGATCGGCGTCGGTCTGTCCACTGTCATCGGGCTCCTGTCCTGTCTCATCGGGTACTGCAGCTCCCACTGGTGTTGTAAGAAGGAGGTTCAGGAGACCAGGCGCGAGCGCCGCAGGCTCATGTCCATGGAGATGGACTAGTCTGGCCCGGGAGGGGAGTGACGGAGGGACGTTCTAGGAGCGATTGGGGCAAGAAGAGGACAGCGATATTTTAAAACAAAGTGTGTTACACTAAAAACCAGTCCTCTCTAATCTCAGGTGGGACTTGGCGCTCTCTCTTTTCTGCATGTCAAGTTGTGAGCGCAGACATGTTTACCAGCACACGGCTCTTCTTCCCATGGCACTTTCTGATGTAACAATCGAGTGTGTGTTTTCCCAACTGCAGCTTTTCAATGGTTAACCTTCATCTAATTTTTTTTCCTCCCACTGGTTTATAGATCCTCTGACTTGTGTGTGTTTATAGCTTTTGTTTCGCGGGGTTGTGGTGAGGAAGGGGTGATGGCATGTGGAGTTCTTCATCTTCAGCGAGAGTGTGCCTGCCCGCCTGAGAGCCAGCTTCCGCGCTGGAGGCATGGGTTCAGAGAGCTGCCGAGCCCACCCTCCACCCGGCCGACCTGAGCGACAACACAGACCTGTGCCGAAGGCTGATTTGTGGCTTTTACGACCCTACCCCAACCCCTATTTTCAGGGGTTTAGACGACATTTGAAATCTAAACTTGGAATATATAACTTCTTATTGAGCCCAAATGCTTTTTTCTTTTCTTTTTCTTTCTCTCTCTTTTTTTTTTTTTTTTGCTTCTTTGCCCCTTTTCCATTTCTTTTGTATTTGTTTTCTGTAAGAGCGCTGAGATGGCGGCCCTGGAATCTAGAATTTGGCTCTCCACTGAGCACCTTATCTTGCCACCTTAGCCTTAAGAATGAGTATGAAGAAAAATACACAGCCACCTCTGTCCAGGGCAGTGAGAAGGGCTGCAAGGAATGGGAGGTTGGGGACAAGGAAAGGAACAGACACCTGCTCCAGAAGTTGTGAGGCCACTGTGCCTCAGGGGTCCCCAGGGAGAGCAGAATAGGGATCCCAGGAAGTTATTTTTACGGAGATGGAGCTGGGAGGGTCAGTGGTGCCAGGTACAAATTAGTCTGAAGAAGCCACCTCCATTCCTCTCTCTTGCCCACTGTGAGAGGCAAAGGCACTGGTCACCAAGACACTTGCAGGGGGACCCACAGATATGCCACCCCCTTCACACGCTGCTTGGGCTCTTTAACGTGAAGACAAATTGCTGCTTGCAAGACGGACTGACTTCAAGGAATTAGAAATTACCTAGAAGCACCATGTATTTTCTGTGACCTTTTCAGTCCTTCAGGTCTTTTTCAGATCTGCTGCAGGGGGTTAGTGAGAAAGGGTAGACTTTGTGGTATGTTTACTTTCCTAATAGGGACATGAAGGAAACCCAGCAATATACTGTCATGTGAACGGCCTGTAGACGGAGTCAGGAGCGGTCTGCTTTGCCTGACTGCGCGCATCAGGAATAGGGGAGTAGACAGAGATCTTCCACGCCCCGGGCTTCTGCTGCTGCTTTAAAAGCTCTCCCCTCTGAGCCTCCTGCTCCCTGAAGCGTCTCGCCCCCTGCACAGCACTAGCCTTTTGGAAGCATCCCAGTGGGGTTTTCTGAGGCTCACTGGTGACTCATGCCCTAATTGCAATCCTCTGCTTTTATCCTGGCTCTGAAGGATCTAACACTGCTCTGTCTTCCAAAACAGAAAAAAAAGGATTCATTTGTTTTGAGCAATAAAATAATACAAAATGATGGCCATTCATGTGCAGCTCTTTGTCAACATGGGCCGGACGAGTTGTGCTCGTCCTGGCTCACCATTTCCCCTGCTCCCCCACGGCTCGTTCTGCACTTATCACAGAGTCACCCCTGGAGGCAGATTCCCATTGAGTTTTCCCCACCAAGGGGACCATCCACGTGATAGAAACATTACTTTCTGCATTGACAGTAGCCTTTCTTTGGCCCGGGCCTGTGGTAGGAAGATGGCCAACAGGTATGCCCCACCAGGGCCTGAGTGACTAGAGGAAGAGGACGAGGCCTTGTTGGCACTAGATTTGGTATTTTCTGCATGTCATATCCTGACTGCTGTTTCAGAAGAGGTAGCTTGGAGGTGATTGTACAAGTGAGAATTAAAGAGAGAACAAATATATAAACAGGTGCTGTATTAGTGACAGCCAGTGTCCTTTGAGTCCTTGCATCCATTAAAAGGAGATTCAGGATTTTATTGGCACAGGCCCTTCTTAGTAGGAAGAAAGGGAGCTTAGCTTTGGACGTGACTAGGTAGCCCAGGGTGTGTGTAAAACCGTGGACTGGGTCGCAGCAGACACTCGATGGTGATAAATGTGACGGGTGCTTACACACTGTACCTTTTCCTTTCATACTGATGCTGCAGTTCAGGCCTGGAGTTGCTAAGGCATTGACCTCCACCCACCTGCCCCACATGCATTGGGCTGCCCAAGCTGCATGTCACCTGGGGGCTGCGACGAAGGGGCGAGAAATCCCAGGGCATTGTACCAAGGACCTAGTTCCTTCTAGCGATATAAATTTGCCAGGAATGTGTATTTTTAACATGGTGAGATGCACTCTTTCATTGTACCAAATAGGGCTCCCTTCCCCTCCCTTGCAATAAGTGCTCTTCTAGAAGAGGTTCCTACCAGTAGCACCGGTGAGAATGAAAGAGGGACCCGTCCGCGTCTCACTCAACAAAAAGGAACTTTATACAGTTTGGGTTTTTTTTCCTAATCATAAAAAATAGCCCCAGAAAGAGCCTGAGCTATGTTCAGATAGAAGCCTCGAAATTCCTGTAAATTGTTTACTTTATGATGTTTACATACACGTTTCACTTTAAAAAAAGAAGAAAAATGCAAATCAACTTTTTAACAGCTTTTCAGAGTTTTCATGGGACAGTGGAACTCTGACTCACCAACTGGGCTGAATTTTAATTTAAAAATGTATTTATTTGAGTGTCTTTCCTCCCGTCACCCCCACCACATCTGAGGGGCTCCCTGAGATCTTGGTAAAGGAGGCCCCTCCTGCCCAGACCTTGGTCTGTTTCCCCGGTGGCCCTTGCTTCTTGCTTTGCAGACTGCCTGCAGCCATGATTTTGTCACTGACATCTGTGAGCCAAAGACTGAGCCTTTTTGGCAGGACTAATAAGCAATACTACACAACTTGCTACTTTCAGAAAACTTTTTTTTAGCTTCACCGATGACAACAGAGGAAGAAGGGAACTGGGATTTGGGTAAGTTCTCCTCCACTGTTTGACCAGATTCTCAGTGATAAATATGTGTGCAGATGCCTAGAAGAAAAAAAGGTGACTTTCTTTTTAAGTGTGGCACATGAGGATCTGCAGAATTTTCCGTAGACAAAGAAAGGATCTTGTGTATTTTTGTCCATATCCAATGTTATATGAACTAATTGTATTGTTTTATACTGTGACCACAAATATTATGCAATGCACCATTTGTTTTTTATTTCATTAAAGGAAGTTTGATTTAACTGAAGTCGTGTGAGGAACTTGATGTCGGTCTCTGTTACCCTTCCCTATCTTCAGCATTAGGGATTGTGACTGGATTCCAGCAGCAACATTAATTAGCACCTCTGATCTCTTTGAATCCTGTAAAAGCACGGTAGATGTTCACTAATGATAACAGGAGAAATGGAGTTGATAGGATCAGTGTCGAAGTTCCACCAGGTGGAAAGGTGAGGACTAGGGTCCTGTTGTTTACGGAAGACCTCCTGATCTTACAGGGAATTCACATGACCCGACAGGACTCCTCTCAGGAAAGAGAGAAGTTAGATATTGTTCCTCTTTGCAGTTGAGGAAAAACCAAAGTTCTGTGGCCATATCATGCCTGGAACAGAATGGTTTTTCTGACTCATGATGCAGTCTGGGGCCAAATCAGTCCAGAAGGTAGCGGCCCCTGTAATATAAAAACAATCCTCGTCCCTCGGCAGCTGGTGTCAGCAGGCCTGGGCACCAATGAATACTGAGAACCCAACTCCCTACGGGCCCCTGGAACAGCTGCATGCCCTTGGCTGGCCTCTGCCGTTGACTCTCCTGCTGGCCTCATTTGTGTTCTTTTGTGTCCTGTCCAGGGACTACTTCATGCTGTGGAGTTATTCAAGGGCTGCTTCTGTGTCCCAGTCACTAATGTTACCCAGTGACTGGCACTATTCCAGGCATGTAGAAGGCACTTGCACTTTGTAAATGCACAGTTAATGCCCTGCTCTAGGAAATGACCCATCATTGCATGCTTCTCAGTGAATGAGTACGGTTCCACTCATGTCACAATGCTGATACAGTCAGAGCTGGTCGCTAGCAATCCTCCACCTATTTGTGAACCCATTCCTGCCTAAAATTTAATTTAAAATTAATAACGTTAAATTAAAAACAAAACAAAAACTTACTTGTATACTTTTTGTGTGCCCAGGCATTGTGCTAAGCACAGCTGCTGCTGACTTGTCTGCAGGCCTTGGCACATAATGTCTGCTTGCCTAGAAACTTCTTTCTTTCCAGCCTTGTTTCTTCCTAACTTGTACTTCTCTTTCAGGACCCAAGGGTCATCTTCTCCCTCTCTAGGTAAAATGAAGATCCCTTGACAGATGGTCTGGTAGTCTGAAAATGATGGGAGGATAGGAACCATCACTGCTGTGGCTTCAGCATCAAATTGTGACAATTGGATTCTTACAATGTGCCATGCGCGAAGACAAGTACCTCGCAGATGTGATTGCAATCTTAAGTGACCAAAAGGGGTTTACAGCAGAAGCACTCTTGCCTGTTCTTCACAAAACTGGATCATTCAAATACTACCACTCATTTCCTCTAACCCACGCACCAGTGTGCATGACACACTTTTAAAAGTTTTAATACTATTTAGGTATGGCAGGGCCAGCAGATCAGGAGTCAATTGGCATTGAAAGACAGTTTTTTATATTCATAGAGCCCAAGAGGAAGGGGCATACCACACTATGGGAGGCCCTACAGGGAAGCACCAGGGTGAGGGCACAGGGGAAACAGGCATGGGGCTTTATTGTGGTTTTGCAGGAAGGAATGGGTGAGGCAGAGTGGACAGGCTTAGGAGTGGCTAGGTTGAATAATTTTAGCAAGCTCTAGGGCATAGGGGCTGTCCCTAGTTGTCTGGTACCTAATCCTGGGGTGATTAGGGAAAGGGGGTAGTGGTCCTCAGTGCAAGAACTCAGTGGAGGAGGTTGTGGAGTGTAGGCTGTGCATTGGCTGGTATGCATATGAAAGGCTTTTCTCAAGAGAGTCCTTAACTAGCTCTAGGAATTGGCTAGCCCTTGTAGGGCAGTCTCTCCAAGATTAGGAAGAGCCCAGATGTTAAAGCATCAATAAACAGAAAATAAAAATAGGTGATTATTGCATACACTCTGCTTAGGGCTTGGAGACTGCTGAGGCTTATAGACACCTGGGTGGCTCAGCTCCACTGAGAGACGTGATGATGGTCACTTCAGTCTGTCCTGTTCTGTGCATTCTCCAACCTACCTGTGCCAACAGTTCTGGTTACTGTGATTATATGCATTTGTTAAATAGTATGTAAACCAGTGAAATATGAATGCCAAAGGGGTGTTCAAAAGTGCCGTTGGTAAAACTGCATGTCCACATACAGAAGAATGAAACCGGACTCTTACCTTACACCATCCACAGAAATTAACTCAAAATGAATTAAAGACCTAAACATAAGACTTAAACCTATAAACTCCTAGAAGAAAACATAGGAGGAAAGCTTTAATACTTTGGATTTGGAAATAATGTCTTGGGTATGACACCAAAAGCTCAAGCGACAAAATGAAAAAAAAAAAAAAATAGACAAATGGAACTACACAAATTTAGCTTCTGCATACATGTCAAAGAAAAAGACCAACAAAGTAAAAAGACAACCTACAAAAGGGAAGAAAATATTTAAAAATCGTATATTGGCCAGGTATGGTGGCTCATGCTTGTAATCCCAGCACTTTGAGAAGCCAAGGCGGGTGGATCACGAGGTCAGGAGACTGAGACCATCCTGGCTAACATGGTGAAACCCCATCTCTACTAAAAATATATACAAAAAAAAATTAGCTGGGCATGGTGGCAGGCACCTGTAGTCCCAGCTACTCGGAGGGCTGAGGCAGGAGAATTGCTTGAACCTGGGAGGAGGAGGTGACAGTGAGCTGAGATTGCACCACTGCACTCCAGCCTGGGCGACGGAGCGAGACTCTGTCTCAAAAAAAACTTAGGTATCTGATAAGGAGCTAATATCCAGAATATATACGTGACTTTGTTGTATAATAAAAAGTAACCTGATGTTAAAATGGGCAAAGCATTAAAAGGAGTGAAATAAGGGCATTTGCAGCAACCTGGATGGAGTTGGAGACTCTGAGTGAAGTGCCTCCAGAATGGAAAACCAAACATGGTACGTTCTCCCTTATAAGTGGGAGCTAAGCTGTGAGGACACAAAGGCATAAGAATGATACAGGAGTGCTGGAGCAGCTGCCGCCGAGTCCGGATCCCACTGCTGTGCGCCCCCGACGCCCGCCCGACGTGCATTCCTGGTTCCTTTTGGCTCCAAGTCCAAAATGGCAACTCTCAAGGATAGGCTGATTCATAATCTTCTAAAGGAAGAACAGACCTCCCAGAATAAGATTACAGTTGTTGGGGTTGGTGCTGTTTGGCATGGCCTGTGCCATCGGTATCTTAATGAAGGACTTGGCAGATGAGCTTGCTTTCGTTGATGTCATTGAAGACAAATTGAAGGGAGAGATGATGAATCTCCAACATGGCAGCCTTTTCCTTAGAACACCAAGATTTCTCTGGCAAAGACTATAATGTAACTGCAAACTCCAAGCTGGTCATATTATGGCTGGGGCACGTCAGCAAGAGGGAGAAAGCCGTCTTAATTTGGTCCAGCGTAACATGAACATCTTTAAATTCATCATTCCTAATGTTGTAAAATACAGCCCGAACTGCAAGTTGCTTATTGTTTCAAATCCAGTGGATATCTTGACCTATGTGGCTTGGAAGATAAGTGGCTTTCCCAAAAACTGTGTTATTAGAAGGGGTTGCAATCTGGATTCAGCCCGATTCCGTTACCTGATGGGGGAAAGGCTGGGAGTTCACCCATTAAGCTGTCATGGGTGGGTCCTTGGGGAACATGGAGATTCCAGTGTGCCTGTATGGAGTGGAGTGAATGAATGTTGCTGGTGTCTCCCTGAAGATTCTGCACCCAGATTTAGGAACTGATACAGATAAGGAACAGTGGAAAGAGGTTCACAAGCAGGTGGTTGAGAGTGCTGACGAGGTGATCAAACTCAAAGGCTACACATCCTGGGCCATTGGACTCTCTGTGGCAGATTTGGCAGAGACTATCATGAAGAATCTTAGGCAGGTGCATGCAATCTCCACCATGATTAAGGGTCTCTATGGAATAAAGGATGATGTCTTCCTTAGTGTTTTGGGACAAAATGGAATCTAGACGTTGTGAAGGTGACTGACTCCTGAGGAAGAGGCCCATTTGAAGAAGCGTGCGGACACACTTTAAGGGATCCAAAAAGAGCTGCAGTTTTAAAGTCTTCTGATGTCATACCATTTTACTGTCTAGGCTACAACAGGATTTTAGCTGGAGGTTGTGCATGTTGTCCTTTTTATCTGATCTGTGATTAAAGCAGTCATATTTTAAGATGGACTGGGAAAAACATCAATTCCAGAAGTTAGAAATAGGAATGGTTTGTAAAGTCCTGCAGCTATGTCCTGAGGCTGGATGGTGGTAACCTTGTGTAGTCCTAAACTGGTTAGTGTGAAATAGTCCTGCCACCTCTGAGGCACCACTGCCAATGCTGCACATGCTGCAGTTGCCCCTTGAGCCAGAGAGATGTTCCTTTGTTATATAACTTCCTGGCTCCTTCACTGAACATGCCTAGTCTAACATTTTTTCCCAGTCAGTCACATCCTGGCATTCAGTGTATAGATCCGATATCGCATGTCTTGTTCCAAAGGATCTTATTTTGTGAACTATATATATCAGTAGTGTACATTACCATACGATGTAAAAAGATCTACATATAAACAATGCAACCAACTATCCAAGTGTTACACCAACTAAAACCCCCAATAAACTTGAACAGTGAAAAAAAAAAAAGATTGATACAATGGATTTTGGGGTGGGAGGGGGGTGAGGGATAAAAGACTACACACTGGGTACAGTGTACACTGCTCAGGTGATGACTGGACCAAAATCTCAGAAATCACCACTAGAGAACTGATTCATGCAACCAAACACAGCCTGTTCCCCAAAAACCTGTAAAAAATTTTTTTAAAAAAATGGGCAAAGGACTTGAATAAACAACTCCCCAAAGAAGATACAGAAAGGGGAAGCAAACCTATGAAAGGGTGATCAGTATCACTCATCACAGGAGAAGCGCTAATCAAAACCGCAATGAGGCATCACTTGATGTGCCTTAGGGCGACCGCTATGGAAAGAACAGGAAATAGCAAGTGT